CGCGCCCGCGGCAGGCCGGGTGCTGGGTGTCCGCTGGTGGGCGACGAAGCCCTGCTGCTGATCCATGCTCACGCAGCACAGATGCGACGCGCACCAAACCGGCGCAAGGAACCTGCATTCCAGAAACCACCAACCGACCAACCCGATAAAATCTCCTGGCAGCTCTCGTCTTACACGAGGCCACAACGTTTCTCAGCAGCTCACACGCGTTTCGCTCCTCACGCCCTCCTCCTTAGGAGAAACGGTCATACCCTCCGTACCGCACAGCGGGCGTCTGCCAGATCTCTCGCATCTGCTCGGTTACACACCCTCAGAGGTCCTTTCGCTCTCACCCTCTTTTTTTTCCCCCCTTCTGGTAAGCCAGTCAGCGTTTTGTTCTACAGCCCAGACCATGCCTACTGGGCTTCCTTATAGGTTGCAGTAATAAGCAAACAATTACACAACCTGGTACCACTGTGGGGGAAATGGATCTTTCTTGCGTAACAGAAATGCTTTGTGAAGAGCCAAGTAACATGCTGGGACACACTAGAACGGCTGGAGAGTTCGCAAGTGCTCTATATTATTCCAATATTAAAGCAGAATTTGGCAGGCACTGAAGCACTGCTTTTTGATTTTTTGAATTTCAGATTTAAAGAATTTTGTCTGTCTATACGGCACAAGAAAGCTGGGTGGAAATGGCATTATGGTGCTTGGTATCTCATAGCTCCATGCTATCAGAAAAATTGAGGTGGCTTAAAGGATAACAAAGAGATTTTGCTGCACTCAGCAGGGTCTACATCTTTCAGACAAACACAATCCAGATAACCAGCTAATGAACCAATAAATAGGCAATATGCTAGACAGACAGAAGAAAAACCGACATGGACAAAAAACTGACACAGAAGAGTTTCTTGGATACACAGAACCAAGTTATGTGGAGCTATATCCAAGGATAACGTTACCCTGAGACTATTCAGTCCCATTTTTAAGAGGCAAACAGAAATATAACTTTAGACATTTTTTAAAATAACACTTTCAAAACTAGATTTAATAGAGGACTTGCAGATGTAGTGACTAAATAGACTGTAGCAGCCTTCGCATGTATATCCGCCAACATTCCAAGTCTATTAAAAATTCATAGATTTTGCAATAGCATCATGATGGTGCCACACCCAGAATTCACAACAGAGCATGTTATGAGAGCATGGCTAATGAACAGGAAAAAGAAATACCGAGGAAGGCAAAGACAACACAAAAAGGCAGAGAGTAACGCTATGTTTACCTGTTCCTATGTAGGCTTAAAAAGATGTTCTGTCTTTAAACAGAGCGGCACTTCAATTTAGACCTCCCAAAATTAGATCTAATATCGACCCTGGCTGCTAAATGCACCTCAGCATTTAAGTGATCCTCTCACAATTTCCATTAGATAAAGAAACTTTCTTGATAGAAAGAATACAAGCAGAGAGGGTGATGGCACAAAAAGCTTTCAGAAACTCTGTCACTGGTAGTGGACACCCTCTTTGCTTCCTCTGAGACAAGTGCTAACTCCTAACATACCCGTGGCAGCACATGTAGTCTCGTGAGATTGTCCTTAAAGATTCTGCTACAGAAGACAGTAACTAGAACCACTAGCAGAAGCATCTTTCCCTAGAGGAAGTTTTCCTGGCAAGCATGGATTTCCAAGAATGTGCAATTAACAATTTACTCTACTCGGTTCAGTTAACCTTGTCATAGATTTTTTTTTTCACATATACATAAAATAATTAAAAAAAGTGCAAAAACCAGGATGCAAATTATAGTATTTTTTCTGCTATATATCTGTTGCATACCTTGAAGTATTGCCATTCCTTGTATTCATTCTGATTACAGTGCGTAATCATAACTTTGGATCCATCCGGTCCTTTAGTTAAGCACTGATCATACTGCATGAGTTGATTAGCTTCATTGATTCGGAAAAGCTGGGGGAAAAGAAAAGTCACCTTTTTAACAGTTGACACAAAATAACGAATATTTTAGAGACACTGAAAATATCAATGAAATTGCATCATTCAAAATATTGTCTGGTGTCACTACACCTATCTGGCAGGAGGGCTCTTTATTTTACATGATGTAACGCACTTTTACTATCACAACACTCAATTTCACGGAGAACTTTCCTGTAGGATTTAGAAGGCTAAGAAACTTACCTAGCAAGACAAAAATGATAAAAATAAAGGGATCACTATTTGAGAGGCTTCTGAAAGTGTTTGATTCCAAGTCTCTGCATGATTTGATGGCCAAACAATCCACTACCTTTTGAAAGGTCTGGTAGCAAGTCCTTGGCCCTGGACAGTAATTTCACGTGAGGACAGTCGTCCTGGGTTTGGCTGGGCTAGGGTTAATTTTCACAAGAAGCCGGGAGGGCTGACCCAAACTAGCGAATAAATGGGATATTCGGTATCATGTGCCGCCATGCCACGCTCGGCGTTTAAGTCTGGGAGCTGACCAGGGATGGTAATTTGCTACTCGCAAGCGAGCTGAGCATCGGGCAGTGAGAAAATTGCATTCTATATATTCTTTTTATCAGTATTATTGTTGTTATTTTCTTCTCCCTTTGCTGTTCTGTTAAACTTCCTCTATCCCAACCCACGAGTTTTGCCTTTTCCTTCTGATTCTCCTCCCCACTCCACCACGGGGGAGGGAGGAGTGAGAGAGCGGCTGCGTGGTTGCCAGCTGGGACTAAACCACGACACAGTAAAACTTTGGCATTTTACCCACGGAGGAAATCAAACTAATGCATCCAGATACAAAAAGATTACCCTAGCTACTTCTTAAGAAATAATTGTTACAGGGTTTTTGGGGGTAACATACACAGAAAATGTAGTTTAGGGAACTTTCACGTTAAATATCAAAATAAAAGAGACATTTCCAAGGGCTACTAAGACCTAACCCAAATATAATTTTTAAAAGCATCATCCAGCATGTGATTTCATGACTGCCATGACAAAACTTGCCTGGTTCAAGTCTACATCAGCACAGATAGATAAGGACTTTAAATGCTGAAAAGTTTTCTTACTGAAAAAGGAGAGGTAAATACAGAACACCATGTTAGTGTGGGTAGGTTTGTGGAGATACAGGTCAAACACGATAGCAGCTTGGATTGCAACCATCCATTAGTAATTATGTTCTGCCAATTAATTTGTAAATGAAGCAATGCTAAATTTGTATTCAGTTTCTTGTCTCCTGGGGTGGAAGATGAGTTACTGCACAAAAGTGTTTTACATTTCCATTAGAGCAAAACAACTTTGTGAAATAACTGAGCCAAAGTGAATCCGGGGTTGTTTCCTAAAGGACGAATTATGACGTGAAGTGATGAATCAGCAGCAATGCTAAGAGCTGCAGCTGTTCTAACGCAGTGATATGGTTGCTTTGAAACACAGTCCCTGCTTCCTCATATACCTGCTTCACTAAGAAGAGATTATGAATTTGCCTTCAATTTTGTACCGTTTGAGTTTGAAATGATATTTTCAGATTCTCATATTTTAGTAATATCAGTATGGTTAAGGAAAATCCCTCACTCCCATCTTTGTAGCTGGCACCTAAGTGACTTTATGTACAGGCGTAACACAAAACCAGCCTGTTACCATCCACAGCAAGCAATTCTCCTTCAGACGTGCCTCCGAGCTCCTTACCTGGTTTCCTCCCATTCTGTGGCAAGGCCCAAGCTCAACGAAGCCACCATTGGTGTGCCCCATGCTATCGATGCAGTAAGCGGTTTCAAAGCCTCTAATCTGGAAAAGAGGTTTTGCACTTTAAGTTAGTCTCAAGGCAAATATAACTGCTAAGGAGTTCAGAAAATTCTCACTTATCTTTCAAACCAGAAATAGATACCGGCCATAGAGATGAGACAAACCTGCATATGAAATTTAAATACTGATGTTAACTATTCTGGGAGATGGAGCTTCTAGCTGCCCCTTCTAATTTGTGGGCTCTTACGTGAGTTAGAGTATACTGATAAGGCTAGAGTTCCAAATTAACAACACCGAAATGTAGGACTTTCAATTATTTTAATTTATTCAATCTCCTATCAAAGCACGTTCAGTCTCCCAGGTCTTCATAAATAACGCAGGAGCTCAGATAAGTTGCTCTCATCTTGTGGAGGAGAGAAGCGTGATGCAGAGTCGTTACACACAGCCGTTGCTCACCGCAGCCAGGAACAGCCCACTGATCTGGCTGTTCAGATGTACCTTCTGCAGCAGCAATCACATGGGGGAAGAAGGAGATAAAATTGATGCGGGGCAGGCACAGGCATAGCGATAAAGACCAGAAGTCCCGTCAGAAAGCATGCCTTAGCTGCTGGTTATCCCATGCCTTGTCAGAAGGGCCAGCAAAGAGCTTTACAAAAACTTTCTGACACAAATAACATTCTTTCCAGACCTGTTTTCTTTGGCAGAGCCTCTTTCTTCTTTGTGATGGTGGAAGTAAGTCTGGAGGACTAGGCTAGGACCTGACTTCTAGAGAGCGTGTTAGGGAAGACGAGCCCCACACTTTCATTCCTGACAGTTTGGAAATGCAATTAGCGCGGTGTTACAGAGGTGGGGAAAAAAATTTCTCAGATGTAGGATAACTAGCAGCCAGTGAAGAAGAGTTGGAGAAAACTTCAGAGACGCCTCTGAACTTCCGACTTTCCTGTTGCTTCACCAGAGCCGCTCACTTTTATCAGGGATGATTTCCTGCAAGGTGGCCATTATTATTTTATTCTCTTCAGACACTTTCACTTCAGTGAACAGTAATATAAAACATGCCTTCCTAACCCTTTATGCAGATTCAAAAGGAGGTCTAAGGCTAATGTAGTAAAACTGATGCTTTGTGCTAGCTTCTAGATAAGAAATAAAGGTAGCATTGTACACCTGGTCCCTCAGACACAAGACTATTTGTACTTCCTTCCACCACGCACAAGCTCTATATCACTAATTCCTCAGAGAATCAGAGGTGACACTTTCTTGGCCATAGGAAAAAGCATAGATTTGGACTTTCTAATGCTCTTTTGAAGTTAGAAAATGGGTCCATCATATCTTGGGAAAGAAAGATTGTTAAATTTGGTGGGACACAGAAGCTCTCCATTGCAAGCAAGACAGTTTTCTGATTTTGCTTCCACAATTTGCAGAAGTGAAAGTAATAGGAGAGACAGGGCAAGGCTGGAACCAACTGAAAAGGGCAATAAATAAATAAATTTGAAAGCAGGCAGGAGACCTGCAGTAAGAGCTCCTCAAGGTGTGGGCTCAGTGCCTGTGACATGTCCTGCACCTGCCCGGTGACATGCTGTCTCTCTCTGTCAACCATGCAAAACTGCTGAATTTGTCACCACATTCTTAATTTAGCAAAGTCATACTCATATACACTAATGCTGGAGATGACTGTTAAGGAATTATATCTAATTATTACATGCAGGTAAGGGATTTACTGAGGCTGTAACTGTATGAGTACATCCCAGGCTACCAAACGTAAGCAGAACGTACTCCACTTGGATTTCATGATCTGTTCTCTAGGCCTTCACAGAAAAAGATTTTCACCTACTAATCTTCGCCAATACTTCTACGCACACAGGATTCACACTTTTTTCTTTAACAAAAAACTAAATTCCAATTATGGAAAAAAGAACTTGAGACATAACTGAAGACAGGGCTAGAGATAAAATAATCCTTCAAGAAACTATGGAGCTAATTAAAAAAATCGCACCTCTTAAAGAATATATAATTTTTTTCCTAGGGTTATGTCTCTGTAGCTGTCTGGCTAGTATCATACAACTTAGTACAGCAGTAATCAAAGAGCCTGTTCTCAGATTGATGTCAAGTAACAATGACTTCCTCCTGTATTCCAAATTTAAAAAAAAGAAGTTCCTAAAATAAATACTGGCTATGTTCTGTACTCACCTCTCCCCAGTCCACGTTTTTAGGTGGTAAGGGATAATATGAAGTTATATCATATGCAATTTCCTCCATAAACCACTTAAAACTTTTGCAGTTGTGATCCTCACGGAATTTCTTCAGCTCAGATATATCTCCGTAGGGTAGTGCCTTTGTCTCAGGCCGACTGGCATAAAAGTAATCTTTGTATTCGTCCCACCACACTTCTACAACTCTGACGTAGTTCTGTGGAGAACAACAACATTGCTGCAGCCTCAGAGTACCCACAACAGGTCAGATGCAACTGCAGGTTAATTCCAGAAATTTAAGGATTTATTTTCTTAAAAATCGAGAGCATGGCATTTTTATATAGCACTAATCTGTCACCTTCAGCAGATTATACAAGAGACATGCATATTATTTTGGGCTACGAGGATAATGAGGGGACTGGAGCATCTCTCCTATGAGGAAAGGCTGAGGGAGCTGGGCTTGCTCAGCCTGAAGAAGAGAAGGCTGACAGAGAACCTTATAAATGCTTATAAATATCTCAAGGGTGGGTGTCAGGAGGATGGGGCCAGACTCTTTTCAGTGGTGCCCAGCGACAGGACAAGGGGCAACGGGCACAAACTGAAGCATAGGAAGTTCCATCTGAACATGAGGAAGAACTTCTTCACTCTGAGGTTGATGGAGCACTGGAACAGGCTGCCCAGGGAGGTTGTGGAGTCTCCTTCTCTGGAGATATTCAAGACCCGCCTGGACAAGGCGGATAACCCCCAGAGGTCCCTTCCAACCCCGAACATTCTGTGATTCTGTGAAATGACAGTTTAGGACTGAAGCCAGCAAAATAAACTGGCTTGCTTAATGAGACTACAAAGCCTTTTGCTAAATTTAGAGAATATTTATTTGAAATTAAAGACTCTTCAGTTACGGGTGCAATAAAACATTGCAATCGTTTGCTGTGTACCAGAACTGCAATTTACAGTTTCTACTCACCTTCTACAGCTTTCATACAGAGAATGATATGTATTAGTTCACTAAGGGTAAAAAAAATTAAGTCTTAAATGGGTCAGGTATGACACACCAAGGAGATTTTATCTTTTTAAGTAAAGTAGTTTATTGCTGCCTGGAGAGAAGGGAAAGAAATGGATAGCTCGCCTGGTGAACCACCCTCTCCCTCACGTCTTTCTTCTCAGTCTCTTTGATGGCTCTTACCTCTGTATTACCGGGACATGCTCTAGATGCACACCTCACTCTCTGTAATTCCTCTAGCATTAACAACCTGGTGTTAAAGCAGTCTTAACAGATCTGACTAAAGGCACAAATTATCGTAAGTTTTACTTTAATCCACATCCAGCATAAATTGAACAAAGGTATAAAAAAGCACATTTACTATGGGGATAGGAGGGTGCCCGAAGAGTGAGAAAGCTATTCCTGCACCCTGCCTTGTACAGAGAAGCAACTCCTATTGAAGAACACTCAGGCAGGGTTTTGTTATATTCAGCAAGCAGACGAGCAAACTCACGTAAGGTGTTTAGATACACTGTAAATATTTTTGATCAGCTTTTGAGACGAGTGAAATGCTTTTTATCATTTCAGACAAGGCAAGCAAACATCTTGCCTGCACTGAACAAAGGAGCTATCATTTGCTGTCCTGTCTCCCATTGCTCCGTCTCTGCTCCCAGCTATGCCCATTTCCCCCCTACTCTCCCTTGTACTAGTGCTTGTTTGATCAAAATGTTCATCGATTCACATTACTAAAAGGCCTATGTTTTTTTTTTTTGGGGGGGGGTGAGGGGGTTGGTGCCAGGTTAGTCTTCTACCATTAAGCTAGGCTGGGACATTCCCTTTTCAACAGAACCAACTGCTAGCTTGGCTCTAGCCATACTCTGGAACCCCACCAGTAGTCACTGTCACAGGTAATGTCTAGGAAGATGGCTCTGGGATTGGAATTCACACAGAACTGGGTCTCTGGGAACTGGATTTACCAACGGCAAAACACTACACAAGAGAAAGCTGAAACTAGGCAAGAGGAAACCTTAACAGGAGGGTCGCCTCTTCCTGCTGGTAGGCACAAACTTACATGAAACAGTTTTCCTTGATTCCAATTATCTCTTCAGATATAGACAGCTGGCTCACGTTTTTCTTGAGGTGATGCCTGCTTTTAACATCATGGCTTGAGCAACCCAGAATCCGCAAGGTGCCTGAGGAGTTACCAACCTTCACAATGAAGTGCAGAGCGTGCCGTGTTCCCAGGTGTCATTCACTGCTTCTGAATTAACAAACGCAGCCACAAAGGCCTGAGAGATGCTAGATTACAGCAGTCGCTAACTCAGCCTATGACCATGTCCTAGCAAGCCAAAAGGGGATTCCAAACCCATGATCGTCTCCAGGAGTGTGGTGTAGTTTCTAGAGCTGCTCATACTTCAGCTCGGCACAGCGCAGCAAAGGCTTGGGGTGCTGAGTAAGTGACAGGAAATGTGATTTGTACCTCAAAGATGGGGAGGGGTGGAGCAAGAAGATGGGTTCCAAGAATCTCTGCTCTTAATAACAGTGGGATTGGCACAAAGGTTTCCCTCCCGTGGGAATAACCATTTTAGCTTTAGACACAAAATAGCTTTGGATGAAGCGCGGTCTAAATTGCTACTGATAATTTAAACAGATTTACCCAAAACTGTTGTTAACTAAAACCAAAACCCACCTTCCAAGGTTGCAGCAAAACATTACCTTTAATGTAGGAGAAGACCCAACGTACACAGGGGGTGGATTTCCTTGCCAACCCTGAAGACGATAGATGTGTCCAACACGGGAACAGGGAACAAACAACAGTTTTCCTCCACACTGCCAGATCTACAAATTAAAGCAAAGGTATTATTAGTAGATATGCAAAGGAATTTAAGACAGATAAGTAGATAATCAATTAGGGAAGAAATGTCAACTACTTTTCTTACTATGCCAACTGTGTGATATATTTAAATATTTTTGCTTCAGATGTAAGCATGAACATAATAGGTCTCTGAAATGAAAGGCTGTATTGAGCACATCTTCAGCTCAGCCATGAAATTACTCAACTGCATTAGTTCTTAAAAAAGTTTTTAAAAAAGTTTGCCATCTCATTCCTTTGCTATTTTAAAACAACAGTAATGAATAAGTGCACAAAATCTGGAACTGGTTAATTTTTATTATGACAGAATTAATAATATTTTGATTTTGTTAAAGCAGTTCACACAGCATCACTAAGATCGGTTTTGGTTAGATGTCCATCACATTTAAGTTTTTCTTAATAAAGACTAGTAGGAGATAAGGAAGTCTTTGGTAACCTATTGTCCCACGTGCAAACAGATTTAACTATAGTAGCTGAAAATAAAACAATGAGTAAAACGTACTACCGCTTTAAAATTCCCTCCCTCCCACACATCCTGGGAAAATCCATTTATGGGGAAAACACACCTAAATCTGAATTTAGTTGCTCACAGTTTTGACAAGTTTGAAATGTAGCATCAAATCCAAATTCAAGCTAACTTTGGGAATGTTCCAAATTTGTCTGTATTCCAGATTAAAAATATGATTTAACAGTATTAGGAAAGATGGGCAGAATAGTTTACTACCTTCATTGCATCCTCATATCAAATTTCTTAAGTTTCATTAAAAAAACGCCTCAGGTATGCAAGGCCATTATATTTGCTATCTTGGAGTCAGCACTCAAGACTGATAAATGTTATTTAGTTTTTCTGAAGACCGGCTGTGATCTACGTGAAACCAATTTGGAGGTCTCTACATAATCAGCACTTCAATTACAAAACTACTGTATGTAATTTCAATCACGATTTAGCTCTAAGCAAGATGGAGAATTAGAAGGATAAAGACCCTCTGCGTCTAACATCCTCGGTAACTACCTTTTGCATATGGATTTACAGCTGAGCAAGTGCACTCAGAGCTTTCCTCAAAATCACGAAGAGCACGAGTAGCTAGGGGAGCTCTGAATGTACTTCTACTAACATTCAGCTACGATTTCACAGATCGCTGCTGAGGATATTAGAGGCCTCCACATGAAAACCGAAGCTACAAGAAGCTAATGATGATCATCTTACGTCTCCTGCTAACTGAAGAGCACGCATATGCCTAGGAGTGAAAATCAAATCTTCTGCAGTGGTTATGAATTATGCAGTTAGCGTTTCAATTATGAAGACTTCTCTTGTAAAGAAGTTCTTAAAATTTTGAAAAGTATATGAGATCATTTTTCACCCATAAAAATGGTGGGGGGGTGGAAACCAGGGCAGATTCCTTTTTGTTGCATCTTCATAGGCATCTATGCTGCTTGAGTGCTACTTGCTCTCTATAATCACTTTCATGAGAAACGACGTTTTTCTATACTCACCACGAGAGCACTCAGTTCCCCCCCCAAAAATCTGCCAGTCTGATTTCAGAGTAGATATTTAGGGTTGTGTGTGATCTCAAACCATTAATAAAATCTAGATTACTCAGCAGTCAGGTCTCAGCACTAGGCCACCTCTCTGAACACTCCTGCCCCAAAGCCCACAAGGAAACGCTGAGGACACCCGTGTCTGCTGCAACATCTCCTCATAACAAAACCCACCGGGCTTCACGAGATGGGGGCGGTGCAAACCAGAGACAGGTCTGTCTGATCTCCAAACAGAAGTATCTACAGAAAAAATATCTACTAAACTGAACTAGTTTTCAATTTTCGGTGTTACCTTGTAAGAAATTTCAAAATTTTCACCACCCCAAATTTGAAGACCTGGATCATAGAGACCCAGTTCAAAGAAGAAATCGCGTTCGATGGCAAACAGTCCACCAGCCATTGCAGGGGACCTGGAAGAGGAAGACAGTGTAACTCCTTCTGCCAAAAGGATATAATAACACTTGGAGAAAGAATTAATTAAGGAAGCAATTCACTGCTAACATATAATAAAGATTAGATAAATGGCAATACAATGAAAAATCATAAAGCTTTGTCATCAGCTTCCAGTGATTTTCTGAAATGACATCTGTACAATTTCTAGTGAAGTCACAGATTTTGTTGCTTTTTTTTTTTTAAATTATACACAATTTTGGTTGGAATTATCCATTCAGCCAGCCAGCGTGATTCTATTAAAATCAAAAAGGTAAGAATCAGCATGGCAAGGCACTTCTCTCTTGAAAGTCATTCAAGTTTCTGAGATAACAGATGAGAACATAGAGCAGTCTTAAAACTTATGCTGTGAGGAGCTGCCACATTGAAACTTCTTGTCTATCACACAAGCAACACAGTTTCCTTCCAGCTAAACGATACCTTTCCATCTTCTCCCTCTGGCTCTTTTTCTACCACTGCCATATGAAACACTTCTAATTGTCCTCAGTGAAATTTTAAAGAGGGCCTGGATCAAGTTGTACAAGGTTTCCATTTTGGTTTAGGTTTTTGTTTTTAAATGGCTTTGTAAATCCCTCCACGTATGCCAGGGTTCAATTAGCAAGTTTTAATGTGCCAAAACGACGTCGTGGTTTGGATTAGAGCATTTTTGCAGAATGGCTCTAACCAAAATTCTCTGGTTGTTTGCTCACACCGAAACACAAAGTAGGATATGTTAAGCCATTTCCAGCACACATATCAAGCACCTTTCACCTGAGGATGAATAAATGTATAAAAATCCTAATGGATAAAAGCTGGACTCCTCACTCAGTTGGCAATTTGAAAAAAAGCAGGTAAGGAGAGAGTGAATTCTTTCTGACTTCAGATGTTCTACAGCACTGAAAGGAGCCAAGAGTCCAGATCACTCTGGTGAGCCCAGTAAAACACAAGTGACAGATTCCTTCACGACCAAAGTACTGAGAGATGGGTCATTTCTAGCATTATTCAGTCTTTTCATTCCATTAGGTTTTTAACTTAGCGGTGCCTTTTTTAGCAGCAAAGATTATATATTTCCCTTCCGCACATAAATGTCTGGAGGAGAACTGCTTAAGAAAAACTAACCCGTAGGGTTAGCATCTACGCCCTCGGCATAGCATGACCACAGACAGAGCTGCCGGGTCTGCCAGCTGCGTCAAGTACCATGGTTATGAGCTCTCCAGCCCACCTGGTCAGGCACCAAGTTACTCCCAAACGTCCCCTTGTACTCCTCTGCCCTTCGCAGGGGCCGAAGGGCGGGCAGCCGGGGAGCGCGGGATGCTGGAGGGTCAGTCCTGGCCTCCAGCGTGCTGCCGAGTGCGTTAAAGAACACAGCAAACGGCGCGCAAGCTCAGTGGTTTATTTTACAAGATACGAAGAGGTGAGCATAATACTTCTGCAAGAAGGATTCATTCGGTCCTGAGGCAATTCTCACATTACAAAAAGTTTGTTTCTGCACTTTAAGGTGTTCAGCTGGGTATTTGGTTTTCTTTTGGTTTGTTTTCTTTTTGAACTAGGCAATCCTGGCTACGGTTTCAGTAGACTTTTATTTGGTCTTATTTGCCGCGGTACTGCTGCAACAAAATGCATGCAGCCTGGAAATAAACAGATGCAGGGAATGTCTCTTTTTAGGAGCAGCACTGTAACTCTGAAAGTATTATTAAAAATAATCTTTTAAACCATTCCGAGAACATGTGTTCTGTGTTTCTGGGAACAGTTTAAAGGATTTTAATACCTGTTTGGATGGTAAACACAGAACACAACAGCGATGTCTGAAATAGGTTATCCTCCTCTAAGTGAATATTAAAGTTCCAATGTGGACAGCCTTGTCAGAAAATAGTATTATTTATACTGCATACAAAACAGATCAAAGCTTCGTAACTTCCTTGCATGTGTTGCCATTTTAACAGAGAACAAAATCATGGGTGAGGATAGGGAACTACCAGCATCAGTTCTTACAATGTTTAAATCATATATACAAGCAAGAGAAGATATTAGATTCTCACGATGTGAGGATAGCTTTCAAATGGAGTAACACGATTAGTTAAGTGTGAAGGGGAAAATAATAAAAACCAGCAGAACCACAGTCTCCCAGTCTTGAAAAGCCATCCAGAAACCCTAGTTTCTAAGCCAGGGTTTCTAGCCAGTTTCTGTTTGCTGGGAAGAAAATACACTGCCCGACACAAAAGAAAAAGGTGGGAGTTCTGTGAAAGTTATTGGAGTTTTCCCAGAAAATAAGGTGGCGGTTTTTCCCCCCCCTGTCTTTTTGTTTTAATTTTTGTAACGTTATGTGTATTAAATTAAAATCCCGACACATACTGACACTTCAGAAAATATCTAGCCAAGATTCTTAAATAGTATGCTGCTTTGTCAGATGTGATCTATTATGAAGCAAGTGTAAGAAATAAGACAAAAGGGATTTTTTTGATGCACATGCATAATCCATGAGCTGTATGCATGCATCAAGCCGTGACAGCAGACTACAGATTGTACACATTACCGGCTATTATAAATACTCACAGCATGCTTGTTATTTCAAATCAAATAGTTAAATAAGCACTGTTGTTTCCAACACTACTTTTAAAAAAAGTATCATAGCTACACAAAGTTTTCCCTGGAAACAAAGCCATACAGTGCTTTACTTGGCCTAAGACACCCCTGTCATTC